TGCAGGCTCTTAGCTGTCTCTCCCCCTTCTTCTAAGGATACTGCCCCCACCGAAATAACTCCATCGAAACTGAGTCACACACAAAGGCCCCACTCTAAATACCATCGCACTGGGAGTCGGGACTTGAAAACACTAGCTTTGGGGGACACAAGCCTTCCGTACATAACAATGAGAAAAGAAGCCATAGTAAAGCACAGACTTGAACAAGCTGCCGAATACCACAGTGTCACAAAGCCCGGGACACAGCACAGCATTCTGCTACCTGCCTGATGTCCCTCCAGCACAGCTTTTCTCCAGGGTTAGGCTGCATTCTTTCTGAGTGCCTCTTGGTGTGACATGAATGTTGTTCTACCATTTTCTTTAGATAACAGAGAAATCGGGCCAGCTGGTGGTGAGGTGGTTATGGCCACTGGACCCATGGCCAGTCGCGAAGTTCAAGTTCCAGACCTAGTGGCTTGGGGAACACACCAGGCACGGGTGTGTGCATGACCAAAATCCCAAGAGGAGGATGGAGGAGAGGGGACTGCAGCTAACTATCCCCCCTAGGGGTGCTTTCTTGCCTTCCCCTTCTCTTTCTCTGTCTCTTTCCCCCTCTCTCTCTCTCTCTTTCTCTGTCTCTCGAGTGCATGTGCCCTATAGCAAACTTTAAAAATAACATAATAAATAAAATTAAATAAATAAATCTTTTAAAAAAGGGGAAAAAAAGCATAGAAAAATGCCTTCCACCTTCGTTAACTGGGTTTTATTAGGAGTAACTGAGGTGTGCTGGTCTGTCTGTTGCTGGTAGCAGGAAATGCCAGAGTCTGCGTGATCTGAGACCAGAGGTCCACTCAGCTCGTGGAGGAGAGTGCCAGGAGCCACCTCCTGTAGAGGTTTCCTGGCTGCATCATGACATGTGTGTCACAGTGGGACTTGACACAAACACTGAGACCCTGGTGAATACTGGTGCTGGTCAGGGTAAACCACGTTCAAATACAACTTCTCACCACATGTGCTGCAAATAGCAGTGTCGCGAATCACAAGAAATACCAGACACTCCACGTGAGAGTCGCCCGGGGTGAAGACCCCAAAGCCACATCTGCAGCCATTTCAGCACCACCCACAGGAGGGAAAGCGAGGACAAGGACCACTGTGGCCTCTCGCTGCACGATTCGATTCGTGGCACTCTACCGCCCTCTCCTGCTGGGACCACAGCCTGCCCAGGGCGTTGGACCTGGGGGAACTTGCTCAGGCACTCCCTTGGCCTCTGACCGCACCCACCTGTGTGAGACCTTTCAGGGATACAGAGAGAGGAAGACCCGTCGTCTCTCCTCAAGCAGCTCACAGGAACTCAGAAGAGACTCAGGAAAGCCAGCGACTGCCACACAGCGTAGGGGGCTGGGAGAGAGTGGAATGCCACGTGTGGCCAGGCTGCCCCCCCAACACCTCCCTGAGCAGGGCACTCACATGACCGTGAGATGGGTCTGGCCAACGCTGGTGCTGGGCTGCAGGGTCGAGACTGTTGGGAGCGCCAGCTCTACTCGAAGAAGTAAATGAATAGCTTTTATAAAAAAACAGGAGTACTGCAATAATTGTAGTACAATACTACACTATTGGACTACAGGAAAATACTATTTACAGTCTGCTCTGGGTTACTAACCAGTACGACCCCTGTGAGCTCGCCTGACAAGATGACCAAGGAATCGGTAACTCACGTTGGAGCTGAGGCTGGCAGATAAAATCCAAAGCACTCAGTTAAATTCTAATTTCACATAAATACTCGTGCTGCAAACGAGTATACTCAAGGAAAAAAACCCACTTGTCCTATTTCTGTTTATTGCTAAATCGGGCAGACCTACCTGAAGTCTCCCTCTGTAACTGAACTGTCCCAAACTCCAGGTGAGCTCACCAAGAACCAAGGGCCAGTTTCACGTTCACGAGGCCACATTGAGAAAGGAGGCCAGCCCACAGCGCGCGGCCGTTTTCTGCAGTCGCTGTGGTGTGGCTGCAGCTGCCTGTCCCCGTTCTACCTGGAAGCCTCCAGCAGTGCAGCTCAGCTTGCCACAGCCTGCATCACCAGGCCGAGTCTCCTGTGGACTTTGAGCATGGACCTTAAGAAAGACTTCACTCTCGCCCTCTGGTTACGTAAGAGAAAACCCTCTCCATCCCGAGCGAGCAGCTGGGGGCAGAGTCCTGACAGTGCCCCTCAGTTTCCACAGTAGCAAAGGCCACACGCAGGCTGCAGATCGAGAAAGAGGCCAACGATGCACGTAGACAGACATCCTGATGAAACAGCGCCCCAATCACGCAAAGGCAGGCGAAGGCACACGTGGCTCATGGTACTGCGGAGCAGTTGTGAATTTTCAAAACTTTTTCAAAACAGAAAGTTCAAAATAAAAATAAAAAAACCAAATTGTAAGCATGCAGAACAAACTTGAAACAAGCTCTGAGACTGCAGGAAACGAGAACAAAGAGAAGAAAAGGATGAACAGGAGGCGGATAGAAACCAGGGCCAGCGGACAAAGCACGCATGTGTCCGTTTGAAAACACGGAAGGCGCGGCTGCCTCCCACACGTCCCGCGTAGCCCTGTACGAACAGAGGACAGAGGGGCTTCAACCAGGGATGACCGGCCACCAACCGGGGAGAGGGCCACAACCTACGTGCCACACGCTCGGCGCACGCCCGGCAGCCCCGACACCCGACGCGGTCTCCGAGCCTTCCTCCCGTCCCTGGCAGGGCCACGCAGGCGCAGAGCAGCCCGACCGCCCCTGCTCCCGTGCCCGGTCGGGCTCAGCCCACACTCTCCGTGGGCGAGCACCGCCAGCTCGCCCTCCGCCTCCCCGTCACAGGGGTCCCCAGTCCCACAGCCCTCGCCGGGGTGTTGGGGCTCCGAGCAGCCCTGGCCCGCCCCCTCACTGTCCCCAGCCCCGCCCCCTTGCGTGCTTGTGGCGGGCACCTCAGTGTTTCGGCCAGTCCCCTTGCGAACCTCGTGGCAGGTGTCTCGAAGTCCCAAGCACACTCCTTAAATGTCACGTGGCAGGGCTCCTTGATGACCCGGCGCGCCTGCTCGCGTGTCACATGGCGTGGCGTCTCCACGTCCCGGCACATCCCCGTGCGTGCTCATGGCAGGCACCTCCACGTCCTGGGCTCGCCCCTCGTGGGTCACGTGGCAGGAGCATCGACGCCCCAGCCCGCCCCCTCGCAGGTCACGTGTC